TCACTCCCTAGTCAACACTGTGAAGTGGGTATTTTGCTAAACGTTGTTGATTATGTCACCAAGAGCCTTGCTCCCTTGCTGGCTGAATTGCGGTTTTGTTTAGACGGGTTGGCCCTCCAAAAATCCTAGGGATAGGAACACCTCTCACATTCCCAGGGAGGGAATCACGATTGGTCTAAGGAAGGAATCAGAAAACTATGGCCCACGGCCCACGGCCTGTTTCTATAAATAAAGTTTTATTGGAACAGGGCCATGCTCATTCGTTTATGTACTGTCTGTGGCTGCATTCATGCTACCATGGCAGAGCTGAGTAGCTGCAACAGAGACTACGTGGCCCTCAAATCCTAACATATTTACTATTTTTCCCTTTACAGAAAAAGTTTGCTGTCCTCTGGTCTAAGACAATCATGGCCATTCCATTCTACTTGCCAGCAAATTGTTTAGGCATGGGCTTGTGTTGTAATCCTGCCCGTGAGATCAGAAGGTTCAGTTTCTCAGATGTTGAAAAGAGATGAATGTGACAGCTGGTGCTGCAGCAGCCATCCTGAAACCATGAGGGGGCAAGCCCAGAGATCAAGGCAATGCTCTGAGGATAGTGGAGCAGAAAGATGGCAAGAGCTGGGTCCTTAATAATATCACTGAGCCAATGAATCAAAATTGGAAATGTTTACTCCTGACTCCTTATAAAACATTTTCTTCACGTTTTAAACCACTGATGGTGTTATGCATAGCTGAAAGCACTCTAACTGACCTCGTATTATCATTCCATTTTATAGGCAAGAAAGATGAGACCCAGAGAGGTAAAGTAATGTGCCCACGCTCAGACAGTTGGTGGCGGTGCTGGGATTTAAACCTAAGTCTTTCCATCTACAGTGGCCACATCTCATTGCTCTTTACAGCCCCCATACCGGCCATGTTTAAGCTCCCTCATTTTCAAGTATGTTGTGCCAACCCCCTTGTGACCACAGAAGCTCTGTTGTTCTCTCTTATACCACTAAAGGCCCCATCCTTGGGCCACACGAAGAAATGGCAAACATTGCAGGGAAGAAGACTGTCCAACACTGGTCTCTCTGGAATTTTACTTCAACTACTGGTAGTCCTATGTCTCACATACTTTGGACATGTTATCAGGAGGGATCAGTCCCTGGAGAAGGACATCATGCTTGGTAAAGTAAAGGGTCGATGAAAAAGAGGAGGACCTTCAAAGAGATAGATTAACACAGTGGCTGCACCAATGGGCTCAAGCATAACAATGATTGTGAGCATGGCGCAGGACTGGGCAGTGTTTCCTTCTGTTGTAAATAGGGTCACTATGAGCTGGAACCAACTCGACGGCACCTAACAACAACAACAAGTAGTCCCCGACTTACAACATATTAGAGTTACGATGACCCGCACTTAAGAATGTCCTTTTTTTTTTTTTTTTTGGTGTATCTTATCATTAGTAATACAGACTACATACAATGTTGCAACATGTAATTTGCTGATGTCACCATATCTGTAAGTTTATATGCAATGTTTCCAACTCCCAAAGATAAATAAAGATTGGATTTATAAAGATACTGACAATAAAAGGCAATAATAATGAAAACATTAAAAAAAAAATTGAGGTATCTGACATATGTCAGAACCGACTTATGATGGAGTCATCGGAATGGAACCCCATGGGACTGCCTGCAGTCCTCATTGCTCCCCTAGCTCTCCCGTGTCTTTACTACTATGCTTCGTGCGATGTGTTCGCTACTGTCCAGTTACTGCAGCAGGAGTGTTGGGAGGCTGTGGCGCACTACAATCTCCTAAGAAGTAGACGTGAGTCCGTGGTTCTTGGATCAATCACCAAAGTAAAGAGATGATTTGCAAACCAATGAACGAAGGCCCCATGATGACACGGCGCCTGGTACTCACATGAAGACGGAGTGCTCCCAGTGCCTCAGCTCCGCCTGCTCCTCTGCCGAGGCCTCCAGTGCATCGTCCTTCAGCCTCTGCCGCACGCTCTGGACGCCTTCCTGGCCCCTGCCTCGCTCCTCGCCCTCGAGCTGCTCTGCCCGTGCGGACATCTCCTTGCTGTGTTCCTCCAGGATCTGCTGAAGGAAGAGCCAGGGCACACTGTGCTTGAGCAGCTCCTGGGTCATGGCCGAGTTCTGCAGCCGCCGCAGTTCCTCAGTAGCTTTCTCAGACAGAGAGAGGGTCAGGGCCCGGAGGTCATCCAGGGCGGCTTGATCCAGCCGCTCCTGCAGCTCCTCCAGGGCGGCACTGTGGTCCGCCATCACACTCCGCCACTGGCCAAGGTACTGGCTGGCATTCTCGGCCACTCGGAAGGCCTCTCCAATGGACAGTTGCTCCCTCCGCTGCTCCTTGTGCTGGAGAGGGCCAGGAAGGAACATTAAATGGGGGTGGGCTTCAGTGGGGTCAACCCTTTGGGAAAACGCTTTGGAAACTGGTTACAGGTGGCACAGAATGTGTATATCCCTTTCCCCCACATCGCACATTCAGAAAATTCTCCCTGAGGAAATGACCCAAAATATAGCAATAACCTCACTTGTTCAATATCCATTGAACTTATACTTATTGAGTAGATAAGTTTCAGGGTCCAGAGTTCAAATGCTGGCTCCTCCGTTTACAATCTGGGTGACCCAAAGTGAGTTTCTTACCCTCTCTGTCCTTCCACTTCCTAATCTGTAAAATTGGGATGATAACAGCACCTACCTCACAGAGTAGTTGTAAGGATTATCAGTTGCTTTATACACGTCCAAAGGTTCCTGGGTGGTGAAGTTTGCACTTGGCTGGTAACTGAAAGGTTGGCGATTCAAACCCAACCCGTGGCACCATGGAAGAAAATGCCTGGCGGTGTGCTTCCATAAAGACTACAGCCAAGCAAACCCCGTGGAGCAGTTTTACTCTGCTGTGGTCACCGTGAGTAGGAATCAATTCAATGGCACAAAACAACAACAACATGTACAACTCTTAAAAAAATGCCTGATGCATAGTACAGTAAGACTTTGGCTCAGTTACTCTGGACACATCATCAGGAAAGACCAATCACTCAAAAGGACGTTTGGTAAAGTAGAGGGTCAGCAAAAATGAGGGAAACTCTCAGTGAGATGGACTGACACAATAGCCACAACAGCGGACTCAAGCATACCAATGGTCATGAAGATGGCGCAAGACTGGGCAACATTTCGTTCTGTTATACGTAAGGTCACCATGAGCTGGAGCTGATCTGACAGCAACTAACAACAATAAATCATAATTATTACTGTGTGCCAGGCACATGGTAATTGCAAATTGTGATATTATGAGAAAGGGAAAACAAAACAAAACAAAACAAAACCCTGAGATCCATGAGAGACAATTTAAAGGAAGAGGTCAGGGAAGATCTTCTGAAGATCTAATTGAGGCCTGATAGATGAGGTCTTAGTTTAACTGACTCAAGATACGGGAAAAAATAATCCCTTGGAAAAAGAACAGCAGCTGTGAAGG